CTCTGATGTGGCGGCCAGGGAGGGCAAACGGCTGGTGTTGCAGCTTGGGAGGTTGCGGGCTCGTTCCCGGGGGTGTTGCCGGTGGGGTTGCCCGGGGGTTATCGGGCAAGCAGGGGGAGAGGGGGCGGCTCAGCTCGGGTGGGAGTAAAAAGCGAGGAGTAAAGAGGCCGTTTGTGGTGCTCCTCGTGGTAGTTCTACATCCACCGTGGACGAACTACACGGGAAGCACCGTGCTTGGCGTTTTGCTCTGCACGTGTGGCCTTTTCCACTACATCCAACTTGGGTGTCGGGAAAGCATAGACAGGAAAGAGTTAAAGCCGTTTCACGGAATAATTAATATTTGCAGAATATATCGTGGGATAGATCACTAGGCAAGTACTGCTCTCACAGACCCTGGTGAATGGTCATAGCCAGCCAGATCCCAGGAGAATGTCTCCTGTGAGTCACTGGGTGAAGGCAGTGGGAATTCCCCCCAGGGAGGTGCTGGGAGCTCCTGCTTTTGCAGGGTGAAGAGCTTTGCACTGCAAACCCTGCCGTGGCTGTCAGTGACAGGGCAGTATGGACTGCTGAGGGAAGTGCCATGGCCCCCACGTGAGAAGATGTAGAACCATGTGCCCACCTTTTTGTGCCATGTGGATTTAAGCATGTATTTTTAAATGCTTCCCTGTATTCTGTCTTCTAGATTAAGTGCCCTTGTATTGCAAGATCTGTTAAGTGATGTTGAGGAATTCAGTCCTTAGTTAATGTAATTGCCATTATGTTCAAACATTTTAAAGGTTTTCTTGAGAAGGAAAAAAACCAAACCCATCTGGTTTCTAGGGCCTTTTACATATGTGAACATGAGATTTTTCAAGCTATGTAGGGCTTTGTCATAATCCAGTAGGAATGTCTGTAAGAAAGGAACTTGCTGTTAAAGCAAGCATCTATTCAGAGAAATGACTGCAGACATGGCACAGTGGGGTCCATGTTTATCGTTTCTCAGCAACGCTGGTTGACATCTCTTCAACTGCAAAATTAAAGGACTTTTTTTCAACTTGCCAGCTCTACGGGCTTAGCTGGGGCTCCTTGCCATTCTGGGCTCCATCAGGCTCTTACGTCGTCAGGACTCGAGAATCAGTGCATGGAATTTAGTTAATAGCTAATAGTTGATGCATGAGACAAAGACAAGTCCAAGTCCTCAGCTTTGTTCAGTCTGTGGGGCACTGTAAGGTATTCAAAACTTACTTTAAATGTCTGGCTCTGCTTAAAACCCATGGCCGGATCTGTCGATGAGGTACCATTTCCACATGTAATCACATGCAGGGAATGGCCAGTAGTTATATATGCAACCAAGTTTTCCTTAGATTTCACTGGGAGTTCTAGGCGTGCAAAGAACGTGGGAATGGATCCTACATGATTTATTGGCAGGTAATTTACACAGGCTCCTTGGCCGTGTTACGTGCATTTCCTTTCTGCAGAGTCTGTCTCTGAGTAGTTAAATTACCATCAGATTTGTCTGCAGGAGCTTTTGAATATGGTTTAGGGAGAGAATACCATCAGGCTAACTTCCTCAGTTTTTGAAAAAAAGAAGAAGAAAAAGTATATCTAGATTATTTTTGTGCATCGTTATCCCTAGGGCTTTAAATGGCTATAAAGTAAGAACTATAGCCATTTAAAAGAAGTTCCTAGGAAAGGACCACAGTGACCTTGGCAATATCTAATTGCAGGCTAAACTTTCTGGTTGGGCATTCAGAAGTGGATACAAAAAAAGTAAAATCTTGGCTGGAGCTGCCACGTTTCATTATTTTCAGTAGAGCTTGACATTTCCAGTGGTTTTTTTTTTTAAAGGAAAGAATAAAGTCAACAGCTTCAAAGCAGTAGGGGCATACAGAGAAAAAAAAATATGTTTGAGCAAAACCGATTTAGCAGTGATATAATTGCAATCAGAGAAATAGATGAAATGGGTTGGTTTTTTTCAGGCTTGCTTATGGCTTTTCATCTGTTCTCCCCTCCCCGTCTCCTGTTGCAGGAATGGGAGCTGGTGGTGCTGGGGAAGTTGAAGTGGAACCTTGCAGCCATCACTCCGCATGATTTCATTGAACACATCCTAAGGAAGCTGCCTCTACCTAAAGACAAGTTGCTTTTGATCCGGAAACATGCACAAACATTCATTGCCCTTTGTGCCACAGGTAGGCCGAGGCGCTCTGGCTGTGCCTGCTGCTTCCCCTCTGGTTGGAAGGGCAGATTAGTCCCTGGTGGTACAAAGGCTTTTCATTCCCTCCCTCTTTACGTGATGTGGGAAGAGCAGCTCAGGCTGGTGGGACTGATTGTGAAGGGCATAATGAATCATGTTTCAAAGCTACCAGAGTTCTTGCAGTCAGGGGCTGTGGTGCAGTTGCAGCCCTGCTGCTGCTAGCACATGCAGGGCTGCTGCAGGGAAGTCAGTAAGGCCAGGTTAGGCCATATGATTTTCTGCTTTGCTGATTCGCTGGCTTTTTAAAAGGGCTGCAGGTCGTTTGCCAGGGCAGATGTGGGACAGCCAAAATACTAGAAGCCGTTATGGCACGTGAGCCCAAAATGCATTGAGCTAATGCATTCAACTAGTGTGGCTTGTACATTTTTCATTAACTGGGCACTGTCCAGATGGAAGGTTAAAGTTGTATTTTAACACGTGTGTGGTGTTATCGCATACACTGAAGCACAGGGAATAACAATTAAGAAGTAATTTCTTTAAAAAAACCCAACACATTTGGATTCTTTCTCTAACTTTGCTCCAAGAAGAGTGAAACCAGTCCTTTTGGTAGGCAACCCTTACACTTCCTGCTTGTCCTATGTTTGGCTGAATACACTTTCTGAAGATTTAGGTGAGAAAAATGTGTTCTATGACAGAGAAGCTTTTACTTTACACTGATTTTTGTTTGGTTTATTTTTTTTTTTCCTCTAGCGACTTTTGGAAAATAAGTGTACTCTTAATTTTTATCCAAAGGATTAATGGTTAGACCAGTTCTTAGAAGCTAGACCTGGAATACATAAACAGCATGCAGTTCTTTCTAGGGTTGTTACCAAGTAGGATACCAGTCAATGTTTGCATTCACTATGATTTGACATACATAGCCATATGTGATAGCTACCTGTGTGTTTGCAGAGGGAAGGGAAAATGGAATGCAGCTTTTGGGTGTGAGTGTCTGCTGCTCTGCCTGTTTCTTGATATTTGAGATCTAGTGGTGACTTCTACGAATGTAGAGCAGCTTTTGCTACTTTAGTTTATCTCTTTTAGGGGATCTTATAAGGGCTGTGTTAGGGTAGCTACCAAGATGCTCAAGCTTTCCATTCTTTTCCCACTGCTGTGCAATCCTTTTCAGGCAGAAGGCCACAGGACTCAATAGAAATATTGCTCAAAGTCTATAGGATCACTCTTGGTAATTCATCAGACATTTCTGGACTAAGCAGCTTTTTACTAGAGGTTTTATCTGTTCCGTCAGCTTTTCTTTCTTTCCTTACCTTCTCCCCTTAACCAGGGTTCATTTACACAGCCCTTTTTGTTCTGATAAAGATGGTCTTTCCATGGACATCTCTCTGGATCCTCACAGCACCATCAGCCATCAACTTCCCAAAATATCTGGATGTTGTCTTCCAAACCAGACCAGTCTTCCCGTTCTTTTTTTTGCTTTTGTCTCCTGCAATAGTGTTTTGTTTATTTTATCCAGAAGTTTTCTTGAGTGATGTAGATTTCATTATTTAACTTTTCAAATTCTAGTCTGTCATCCTCTGCACTTAAAGTTTTCTATATAACCAAACCATTGCAGGACTGTGGGCTGTGAAGGGGTTTCCAAAGTCCATGGCTTCTTTCCACCCTTCTCCATGAATTCTTTGATGATTAGATCCATGCTTTACTAGTTCATTTACTGAAATCCAAACCAGCATCCTCTTTCCAACCCTTAGGCCAATCATACACTTCTCTCATCTTTCATCTGTTTCCCCTGTGTGATCTGCTTCTCATGTTTCAGGTCTGTGAAATGAAATCCTTTACATAGAGTTTAAAGAAGCAGTAGGTCATGACTTCAATTGTCTTGCAATTGAAAGACATGATTGACTGCATATGGAGCTTCTGGAATGACAGGGCACCGTGGTGCTGTCTGTAAACTTCCTTTTCATCATATTTTTTGCAAACCACTGTGTCAGCGTTTGATTTTGAGGAGGACCCACAACCTCTTGCATTTTTAAAAGTTCAGCTCTTAGTCAAGCCCTCATTCCCAGTTTTCTACCTTATATGCAGTTTACTAGTAAGCTACTACCCATACTTGCATTGTAGAAATGACATTATTACTGCTGTGTTAACCTTTCATTGCCACTCTTCTCAAATTTGTTCCTGCGTGCCTCAGTGAAGAAAAGCTCCTTCTCATCAGACTTCCTTTCAGATCCAGTTGTCATTTCATTTTCTTGTCCTATTTGTTGTAGAGCTCTCATCAGCCACTGTGTTTTTTCTTTCCATTTCTCCCTCCAAGCTTCTGGCTCTCTGCCAGCTCGGGTTAAGCCCAGTGTTTCATTTCCCCATTTGCTTGCTTTCAGCA